TTTTTCCTTTTTCTTTATTTATTTTTATTTTTTCTTTCTTTTTTTCTTTTTTTTTTTTTTTACTTTTACTACAGTCTAAGCATACTATATCAAACTTTAGGATTCGATATCGAGTTTGTTTCTGCATTGTTTCGCATGATTTAAAAAGAAAGTAAACGTATACTTAGTAATACCAATGTATGATGTGCCAGAGAAGGAATGATACATGTTTTATGATATCTAGCTAAAGTGCAGACTTAGCGCATACCTTTATTACTATAATACTACTTAGTCGAAATGTGGATGTCTGAACAAATAAACTAGCTTTACTATACTAAGCTATAAAATAGATATGATCAATTGTTTTAAATTGATTATTAATATTATTAAAAATCAGTTATCAATTTAAAACAGTTGTTTCTTCTTCCGGATATGACAACAACTAATCGGACGTGTCTCATGAATTTTGCAAAAACACATGGCGGTTGATGCAATATGTCGACACCTAACAAAACAGCTGTCATTTTATCTGAATATTCTTGTGACAGCTAAAAAAAACTGAGATATCCCCCAACTTGCTTGTTTCAGATACATTTGTATTGATTGCAATTTGTGCATAATTTAAGAATAAAACATTTCTGTACATAGACTGGCCGTTGGTAATAGTAAATCACCTTAAATCTCCTCTAATACGTAAAAGACCGATATTTTACTTTCAAAAATCAGAAATTCTGTCTCCTTGTTTTCCTATCTTCACTTTTACATTTCGCTGACCGTCATTTTATTAATTACTGACGCGTGGGGGTGTGCAAATACAAGTAATTAATTTCCAATTGAATTTAGTCATTTAATTATATTAAATTAAATATTTCATTACGTTTAATATATTTTATATATATAAAAATTTATTTTCCGCTCGAGTGTAGAAAAACATGTTCCGTTACATTTACAATAAATAATGTAAAACTTGAACTCAACCATATATAATTTAAAGAAATTTAAATTTTGTCTAAAAATAATTTTTTTAAAAGGAAGGTACATTGCGCATAACTTGCCACCAGTCCGTGTACATATAAGAGTTTCAGGTACAAAAGTGAAACGAGATTGAGAGCCTTGTGCGGATAACGCGATGCACACATCATCAGTGCAGGCCCAAATTCCCGCCGAGGCCCTGTTCTTTCCGCCACTGAGCCAATCTGATGGCGTACCATCCCTAAAACAAACCAAGAGCAACAATTTGCATTTTCATCCGCTCGATTCGTATTTCGTCGAGATTTATACATCTCTTTTATCTTATACGCGCAGTCTTGGTTGGATACTTGGTTTACTCACTTCAACATCTGCCTCGGAAAGACCCGTTTCAGCTGCGAGGAGTACAACGTCCGCGGTATGAGGTGCTCTTGGCCATCTGTTGAATTGCTCTTGAAGAACCGCTTCCTGATCCACTGTCAAGCGAATCACTCGACCACCACCGGCTCCGCTGGTAGGATATCGCGTGGGATAAGATTTCAGCATGTTTCCCTTATGAAAATAAAATGTATTCCTAATCAAAGAAAGAAAGAAGATAAAAAAAAGACTGATAGAGGTAACGCAATGTAACGCAACGAGATCGAAATGGATGATGATATCGTGTGATGCGATGCAATATAACATAATACGACAAGGCAAGACTGTCAGTCCACTTTAAACCGATCCATTAAGCCACTTCGTGATTGACATCGCGACTCTCGAAAATCTTGGTTCTCTTCCCTCTCCTTCCAAAGTTCCAATAATTGATAAGCATCGATTATAAAGGAAATCAGAGAAAATGAACGCGTGCGTATTAAAAAATATTTGGAAAAGCATTAGTTTTTTCGACCCAAATGATACCTTGATACTATGAGAAAAGCGATGATAATTAGCATAAAAAGGGGAACGATTCATCATCGTGTCTCTCGCGAATATATATTTATGTCGCCATTTAGCCAGCAGCAAATGTGTTGTCCTGTTGTCCCGAAATATCGCTTGTTACGCTGACAAATCGGCTAATCTTACAGTAGAGTTGTATCTATGGATCTAAATCGAATGCGTATCTATATGCATATATGTATATACTCGGAAGCATATACATATAGTGTTCTTATAGAGACGCTATATAGATATAATATAGCGATTGGTAACCGAGAGGAACTTGTTTCATTGAAAAATTCGTGATAAACTAACTAAAAAGTTTTTTACAGCTATATTATAGGTAGGTAAACTAAAATAAAAATAGCATTGATCCAACATCAAGATCCACGAGATATTGGACAAGTTTCAAAAGTGTGGCGACACATTTGCGAAATAAACCATAAGAAAGACTGTTGAAATCCGTAAAAATCCGTAAACGGCCTGAGCGGCCTGCGCGGCATGTGCGCAAGTCCAAGGAAAGAAAACAAATTGTATAATGCGGTAATGCGAAAATTGCAAGATAGTAGATTGTAGATAGTATAGGATAGTATTGGTACAATACTATCGCGCGCGCGCGCGCGTGCGTGTGTGTGTGTGTGTGTCTGTGTGTGTGTGTGTGTGTGTGTAATATAACGAAAGCAGGATTCTCTCTGTATGTTACGTGTAATTACTCGTGCCACAAGTACTAGAATTATTCCAATTTTTCCCAAAGATTTCATAAGTCGTCAAATTCGTACTATCAAACATTCTGAATATGATAAATCTGGATGTTGGCGCAACAGATATTCCGAGATTTTCCTTTATTATCTCACCTAATTATAAGCTTTAGTTCCTCTTTTAACTCTCTGAACTATCGAACTGACATTGGAAACGTGTTACATGTCGAATAATCTAAATATACTGTCTAATCAGTTGTCTGGCAACGTTTAATCGATTCTCTCATCGGATAATTTTCGGCTGGATCGACTGCTGATACTATTCTTGATCAAGATTGAAAGATGGAATTATACGTGTTGTACGATTATATACTTTATAAAGACTTATTGCCCCCCCTCTCTCTCTCCCTCTCTC